AAGAATAATGATTGATAATCTCTGTAATTAATTATTACGAATAATAATCACTCATTTCACTTGACAGGAGCCGGGGTAACTCAGTCGGTATTGCGACGGACTACGTGTTGGACGGGCGGGGTTCGATTACTGGCAGGAGCAAGAGATTCTTCTGCACTGCACAGTGTTCAGATCGGCTCTGGGGCCCACCCCGCCTCCTACCCGGTGGGTGCCGGGCCATGAAGCTCTCCGTCTAGTGGCGAGGTCAAGAATGGTGCAGCTGTACCTAAATTCCCCCATATGTCTTTATGGAATGGTGCCTGATTAATTAAGCGAAGGGACAACTTTACCTGTTTACCTAGCACAAGCGCTATTTGCTCATGCTTTTGCAAGGACATTTTCATTTACCGATAATATTGAATGATAAACTCAATTTCAGTATTAATTATTATAAATAATAATCATTCATTTTCGCTCGATATCTCAAAATATTATGCCAAACATAGTGCACCGCTTACATTTTGATGGTATCCGCCCTTCAGGACCGCACATTAACTCTAAAGCACAACGGTAATTATGCTCACCCTGAGGAGAATATTTGGGCCGAAGAAGGCTTAAATGATAGGAGATTGGAGTTAACTGCATAATGAGGAGATTCATAACTTGTACTCTTTGTCGAGTATAATTAGAATGATCAAGTCAAGGAGGATGAGATGAGCACGCATGGATTAGAAGAGGAATGCTTATAGGATTTTGGTGTGAAAGCGAGAAGGAAAGAGACCACTAGGAAGACCTAGACATAGGTAGGAAGATAATATTAAAATGATTCGTAGATAAATAGGATGGGGTGATGTGGACTGGATTAATCTGGCTCAGGATAGGGACCAGTGAACGGCTCTTATGAACATGTTAGTGAACCTTCGAGTTGCATAAAATATTGGGAAATTCTTGAGCAGCTGAGCGACTGGTGTTTTCCCACGAAGAACACATCTCCATGGAGGAGGTTGGTTGATTAGTTAGTGGTTCTGTCTTAACATTAAACAACTCTAAACTTTTCCCGCAGGGTATGTTTGTTTCGTATGATTCTCAGAACAAACGACTACTGTTTCCCTAAACAACCTCAACTGGTTGGACTTTATGGCAGAGACGTGATGTGTTTTCTGTGAGGTGCGAACTGAATCTCTATATTATTTGTGTGTTCCGTATAGTTCTCACAATAAACAGCGAATATTTCCCTAAACAGCATTAACCGGTTGGGCTTTGTATAGGAGACAATGTGTTTACAGTGAGGTACGAACTGGATGTGTATAGGCCTACAGAAAATGACACATATAACTAAACATTATCCACATCTTCTGACAGGCACATAAAACGAGGGGAAGCTATTCATGTTGGACCATGTATTGGCAATTGGAGCTAAATTGCAGGCAGCTGTCTCCAAACTGCTTATGACTATGTGTGTTATGTCTATCTTGCACCGTAGTACTAGTTTTCTCATACCCCGGACCGAGTTATAGCAAGATTGCCATGCTCTTTGTTAACAAGCAGGCCGTATGAAGTCTCTGCAGAGGCATTCCCGCGTATCAGTTAATAAAATTCTACAGTACCGTTTTGCTGTAGAGAACATTAATGTTCTCTCTTCCCCCCCCCCCATATTTTGGAGCGGATTTCGTATTGAGCGGGGTTGCTCAGAACTTGGCCATAATCTCTTGAACTTTGTGGAAGAGAGGACCATTAAGAAAGGGAGTCGTCTCTGCTCACAGAGAAGTCTGCTTTATAGGCTGACTCTTGGCTCCGGTCCATGCCTTGGAACCTTCAGAGGAGCCCTCAGGCACCTGCAAGTGACGTAATTGTGCACGTAGTAGCAACTGTAAAGATCAGAGCGATAATTAATGCAGCCTGGTTTACTTTGCGCACTTTTTCATACGCCTTGAAGAATACAGCCGTCTGGTATGTGACCCCGTATATTTTGGTAGAAGATCGCAGACATTCAAGAACAACGTAATGTGGCTCAGCTTTCTTCTTGCTGGTTGCTTACTTGGCTTGAACTTCGACCCTGAAGATGGAGGCAGTAAACTACTTCGAAATATGGGTAAACTTCTACCAGAGTACACGGTGTCACGTTCAGGAAGAGGGTATTATTCAGAGTCACAGCTGTAAGAACCTAAGATTTTCCACAGCATCCTATAATCCTGGCGTGAAAGTTCTACAGTTATGTGTTTCCGGTAGCCTGATTTGGTACTCTGAAGAATGCTGAGGGTTTAGGAATTTGAAGAGGATTGTCTTATGGGTTGTAACGCCGTGTACTTCCTAGAAACGCCGCATGCAACTGCTGGGTTCTTGCTTGACTCAGTCGTCGACCCTGAAGAAGGAGGCTACGCGCACTCCTCTATCTCCCTCCGAACTACCCGGCGTCGCATCCCGCAAGATTGTACTGTACGTTTTCACAGCTGTGAGAACCTCAAACCTAACCCTTACGAACTTCTCTGTATTGTCACGTATTTAGGGGTGTGTGACTATAGACGGGGTATGGATTGGTGAACGGATTTATCGACCACTTATGCACACCACTTGGAACTACAAGTATTTACAGCGCTATCGCTTATCTCCACATAACAGATCACCACATCAGCAGCTAAGCCTTTTCCAGCCTGCTGTGTCTTCACCAGCCGTTTCCTAGTACCGGCTCCTAACAGTGGAGATTCTTCAGATTCGCCCGCTAAGGTTCTCTTATCACAGCCTCCCTCGCAGATTTCAACTGAAGTGGTTGAGTCTGAGCCGTATGTTACGACCGACGGTCAGCCGGCCAGTTTGTCTTGGAATGAAGCACTCATTTGGAGCTCATGATCGGATTTTTATTGCCTTCGGACAGTTGCGGGTTTGTTGATGCTGGGCACTCTCTGAGACGAGAGGACGGGTCTGTCCCTTACAATTGCTGCTGGTCCTCGCCAGCACAGTCCTTGTTTTCAAGTCTCACGACTCTGTGAGTCGTGCAACTCTCTCTCTCATCATTACTCATCCAACAGCCGGACGTTATATGCTCTCTACTGCTGACAGCGTCGTTAAATAACCAAACCGTGATTGTAGTGCAGTACCTGTGCTGCTGATTGGATTTCCGACGCACACTGCGAATGCCTTGCAGGCTCGCGTTGTTACATAAAGCGGCTAAAAATATGAACTTTGAAGTCTTTCTCTCTCTTACGGATGCTCCAACAAGTGAGAAGTGCTCTTTTGAAGCATATTATTGTGCAACCTTGTCCTTTTATCGCGAGAGCGATTTTGTAATATCGTGGCACGAACTGTGTGTGTAGTCTGAATGTGGAGCTGCGCCCCTGGATTCGTTGTGCAGTCGTTAAGAGTATGTGAATCGGTTAATTCTCCAAAGCCCAGTGGTCACTGTACGTACAATATGCTTTACCGTACTAAAACCCTGCATTCTGCCCACGTAATTCGTTTGTGTGTTCCGTATGGTTCTCACAATAAACAGCGACTGTTTCCCTAAACAGCATTAACCGGTTGGGCTTTGTAGCGGAGACGTAACATGTTTCCTGTGAGGTACGAACTGAGGTTGTGTATACTGTTTGCAAGAAATTCGGTCTATAAAGGGTTAATATAGAGGCTGGCGATGGAGTCTCGAGGGTGGTAATCCTGAATTATGTTAGTTGGGCGTTGTGTAATTTGGTTTTAAGGCAGTTGCTAGGATATTCTGTAACAGAGACCGTAAACACACGCAACCGAGCCAACAGAGAGGGGTAAAAGAATCTAGAGCCCGCGTTAGAACTTACGTTTTGTGGCTCTCCCTACATCTGTATACGAATCTCAACATTTTGCCCATCATAAGCAGCGTGATAACAGCTGACACTTGTAGTTTCGGAACAGCTGGAACTTCGAGCCTCCTTTCGTATTTATGAGGCTCCAGGTTCGAATCTCGCCATAGAGACCTACTGTCCTTAGGCCTACTGATGTTGGATTTGAGGTTCTCACATCGGTGACTGTGAATAATGTATCGTACGAGCTATAATGCCATTTGGTCTGTTAGAAGTTTACCGACATTTAGGAGGGACGTACTGCCTCCATGTCATTCTGCTCGCTACTTGTTTGCTCTTGGTCCCGAAGATGGCAACAGTACGTTCCCCCGAAACGAAGATGTCCTTCTAACAGACAACACGGCGTCAGATCCCTGGACTGTCGTGAGAACCACAGATCACATAGTACTATTTATTCTGTTTGGTGCCCCAGTGGGGTTGTTCTGAAACCCTGTCCCTACTTAGGGACCCAGCAGAGTGGTATTCGTGGTGGCATGCAAAGGGAAGTGTATGCCGCTAGTTCTTTCCAGAACTTCTTGTTTTCTTAGGGCCATGACACGCGGAGCGGTTTTCACCGACTCGGCGCGTAGTTCTAGTGCATCAGATGGGATAAAACAGACAAGGCGGTGCTCGCCGACAGGCGGCAGATTTGCCGACTCGGCCTGTCGTCTGCAGGCGGTGCAGCGAGCGGTTTTAAGGCTTCATGCGCGCTTTGCTGCATAGATTGAATACACTCTCAGCAGTTTCTGACGCGGCGAATGAATCAATGGTAAGTATTCCTGTATTAGATCTCATATAAATTAAAATATGCATATGTAATGGAGCCGGTCACGGTAGCCGAGCGGTTTAAGGCATGTACTGTCTTCGCTCGCTTGGAAACCGGGATCGTTGGTTCGAATCCCACTCAGGGCATGGATGTTTAGTTTGTGTGTGTGTGCGTTTTTCTGTGTTTGTGTACAGGTAGAGGCCTTGCGACGAGCTAATCACCCGCCCAAGGAGTCCTACCGAATGTGCAAGATGTAGAAAAACCGAAGTGAACGGCGAAGTTCATGGAGGTAGGCCTAGTCCCACTGGGGCTGTAGAGCCAAGGGGAAAAAAATATGTAATGGAATGAAGTTCTTTATTATTAAATATTTAACATTGTTTACACACAATACGAAAAACGTACAAACTTTTACTCACAGTTTTCTATTTTATTCCACTTTTTGTTGACAGAATGATGGAGAATAGGATTGACATCGAAAAATTAATCAGTGAGGTCCATGCCCGACCAGCAATATGCGATATGACGCATGGTGATTATATGGACAAAACAAAAAGGAAAATCTCTTGGGAAAAAATTGTGAATAAATTTGCGGAACAGGACACGGCTATAGAAGAGAAAAAGACATTAGGTAAGTTTATACCTTATGTGCAAGATTATGGTGGACTTCGGTAGTCACGAATACAGTCCGAAATCAACCTTCAATGACCTTATTCTGCCATTCTAATAGAGCAATTTCTGAAAAATAGTGAGCAAATTTATCTCTCATATTTCCTCTGCTGACTCTGTCGAACGTTAAGTTCTGCATACTACATTGTGGGAAGGTGTCCTCACGTTTTCCATCCCTTTGTGTTACACAAGCAGCCTTAATTACAACTTCAGCAAAACCAATATCTACATTTAGTGGTCTGTGAAATATTCTTCACTTATTTGCTAAAATACCGAAGGAGCATTGTATATAGCGCCTGGCTCTAGACAGTCTGTAGTTGAATATTTTCTTGGTATCAGTTAGATGCCTGCCACCATACGGTCTAAGTAAGTTTGTTGATAGTGGGACGGCCTCGTCACCAACTCAGACATACGGATAATGTAGAGATGAATCTGCAATTTGCGTTGGTGGAGGAATTCCTAACGAACCATCAGACAGCTTTTCAAAGAGTTAAGAGTTTTTTAATGTTCCTGAATCACTTGATTTCCCATATGATCCCACGTCTATGTATGTAAATAAATAATTAGCATCACACATGGCAAACAACACGATGGAGAAATAGTTTTTATAGTTATAGTACATAGAACCACTATTCGGAGGTTGCACAACTCTCACGTGCTTTCCATTAATTGCGCCTAAACAATGAGGAAAGTTAGCATACTTTTCATATCCCTCAGCTATTTCCAGCCATTTTTCTGTGGAGAGCTTAGGTAATGCATGATTGGCTAAACATGTCCATATTGCTCCACAAACTTCTCTGACAGTGGCCCCTGCTGTTGATCTGCCCACTCGGAATGCATACTGCAAGTCCATCAGGGAGCATCCCTGCAAGTGTTCAAAACATACCAGTTAATAATATATTAATATCTCCTGAATAATTCCATTTCAAGTTGCATTTTTCTTTGTTCTAGGGGAAGTATTACACGAGAAGCGGAAAAACGTGAGAGACAGATATACCAGAGAAATACAGGCAAGAAAAGGGAAATCTGGTTGTGCTGCTGGGAAGAAAACACCATACACGTACGTGGAACAACTGTGTTCTTTACAGGATACTGTATTACCGCGCGAAACTACCAGTTCCTTACATCTGGCAGTAGGTGAAGTTAGAGGTAACAATTCGGGACCTTCGAGTGAAGCTGAAACTCATATTGAAACAGTTTCTTCACGAAATCAGCATTTAGGGACAAACAGGAAACTTCATCCAGTCGAGGCAAAGATCCTCCAAGCTCTGGAGAGCAATAAAGAAAGCAGAAAGAGAATGGAAAAAAAAACTGAAGATGATAATCGTCATTTCTTGTTATCACGCCTTGCCAGTTTGAAAGCTTTACCGAGAGCTTTAAATATGAAAGCCAGAGTGGACATAATGCAGTGCATTAGGAAATATGAAATGTCTCATGACCATTCTCAACATCAGCGGCAACAATATCTTACAGTGAACGCGCAAAGAAATCAGATGCAGCACCACAGCAGGAAAACTTCGCATTGAATTTTCTGGTTCAATCACCACCACCACAGCAACAACAACAACAGTCAAGTTTTCATCAACAGCAAATTCTTTCCGGTTACTCACCACAACAACAGATTTATTCTTTGGATTCGTCTCTTCCTGCGCACCAGAAGAAACAACAATACCATAGTGGTAATCAATCATTGCTTGAAATAGTCTCCATCACAATTTCGTTCACAATAGTAGCAGCTCCATCTCCAGCAGATTCCGTGGATACGTATGTGTCGAGTTTCAGTCCAGAAGGAGAACACTCAGATACCAGTCTTTTTTAAATGTTTCGTGTGAAATGCTAGATACTTATGATACTTTCTAAATACTTACCTGAGAGTTATCACCAGTTTCTCTTCGGGTGGAATACTGCTTCTCATATGAGTGTCTAGCTTTCTCAATTTTTGCTTTAAAATATTTAACAGTTCGTCGAAAGATTCGCTCGACATACGAACGAAATTATAAAATTTATCTTCATCTTGTCATGCTTGATTAAATAAAGTGTAAAATAGACCTTTTGAAGTCCTATCTCTCACAATTGCGTGAATCCATATTCTCCGATGTTTCCTTCTCCGCCTCCACCGTCAGCAAACCAGTGACAGAAATGTATACGTTCCTCGTGAAGGTCCATCTGTGCACTGCTACCTCCCACACCGCATGTTGCACTCGGCACTCGAATCGACGTGCAGCACCGTGTGTTTTGTCACAAGGCTGCGGCCGAGTCGGCGAAAGCCGCTCCGTGTGTCATCGCCCTTAGTGCCAGTCACTTGTGTTAAGTAGAATAGTAGAATTCATTTGATCCGTGAGGATTGCTAAGCAGCTGGCGGTTCCTCTTATCTGCATTGGCAGACCTTACAGTCTCAAATGCTGCTCCACGTCTGCCGTCACTCTGACGTTAGTGCAGTCCCGCGGACATGGCAGTAGTGTTTTGAAGGAGGGGCTACGTTGTTACGAAAAGGGTTTCACTGACGCAGTATGACGTCCACGATAAGACCTTTTGCGCTTACTCGGACCTACAGACTCATTCGGTCTGTTTTACAATACCGGAAGGCCGAAAGTGTGTTCTGACACTTCTGCTAGTGGCAAATTATAAAATTAATGTTGTAAAATTATTTTCATAGTTACGTATAGCGAATTAATTGATTGCAAGCTAACTATATGTAGCAAGCTCATAGTCACTTAGCTGGTCACTTAACTTATCTTCCCCTAATAGATCACTGAAGGTCGCAGTGCTGGGCCCGGTTTTTATGGCTCACCCCTTACATACGAGTACATACATACTGTTCCCCTAGGTTTCCTGTTTAATGTATCGAAGCGTTGCAGTTATCAGTAAAGCAAATATTATTGAATCTGAAAGTACCCGTTATATCTTCCAACTAAAATGTCAGGTAGTGGGGTTTTTAACACTTTAATTCATTGGTTACTATGCGTACCACCCGCTGTAACATTAAGAAAGTCGACATTTTGCGCACAGAATGTGTTTGTATGTTCCTTATGGTTCCCACAGGGATTATTTCTTTAAACAGTATAATTTGATTTGTCTTTGTAATTGAGACGCAGTGTGTTTCCTCTAAGTTAGGAACTGGATCCTTACATATTATGTGGAAGAAAACGGACCATTTGAACACAGGTTTTCTTGGTTTCTCTTTGTGTTCGAGCAAATGCTCAGATGCTCCCAACTTCCAAATTGCTGTTGCGCGCTTCTCATGCGGCCCTCCCCGTTTAAATCCATCAGAATTAAACAGACTCAACTACAGAGGTCGCTAAATTATGTACCAGAATTATGCAATTCAACATTAATTCAGAAAATCAGAATCGCGCTGCCTCTGTTTCGAGCCGTTACTACCAACCCGACCTTCCTGACGTGTTGACTTTCATACCGCCCCTGTCAGAAGGACGAGCGAGCGAAGCCTGGGAAGCTTTTAACGAAATTA